AATAATATACATGCATTCTCCTCTGTCATGTATAATATAACGCTTCGTATCTGCAAAGAAAGGCACTATACATAAATATAAATGTCTCAACCTTGTTTGGGATTTTCTGCTAGAGCTGTGTCATTTTGAGACAGGATTTCAAACACGCAATAAGACATCAATGAAATAACACTAATGTACACTGAATTATACTACATAATACCGTACATTTTATTTAATATTTGTCTAACAAATAAACATTTAGGCTGCTACATAAATAAAATGCATGTATACTTTTAGACATTATTGTGTGTTAGTCCATGGGTGCAGGCTACCACCACCCAAATAAACGTAATCTGTATTGAATATCAAATTGTACAACACAAAACATTACATTTAATAATTATTCACAGAAACTTACCTTAGTTTACACCTTCAAGTACAGTTTTACCACTAAGTATAAATAAAAATGAATGATAAAACAGAAAATAATACAGTACGTCTACTATAAGGTCTAAAGTATAATAAGGCTGTTTGTCTGTTTGCCCTCCTCACCTTCCCCCTACCTGAGAAAAAAATAGGGGGGGGGGGCAAAGCAAGAAAACTTTTTTTCTGCTTTGTTCTTTACATATATAGAAAAATGTGTTTAAAAAACTCTTTTCAACCAGCCCCTTTTTATCATTTTAAAAAAAGAAGGGCAAACAAACAATTTATATTTTTAGGCCTAATATAGTAATAGACCGTCTCAACGACTATATTGCTTTGATAGCCGGAATCCACATTCCCTCTTACCTGAAAAAAAGAAAAATATTAATGAAAGCATTGTGCTTGAATTAGCTGTAAATAGACACACACCACGACATAGATGACAACTCCAAACAATAGTGGGTGTGGGATTGGGATGATGCCCATATGGCGTCCCATACAAATTTCGCCCGACCGAAATTATCGGCGGCCGAAGTCATGAGGAAATGGGCCCGATCGTCTTTGGAAAAATGGGCCTGAACGTCTACCCGCCGTTTTAGAAAATGGGCCCGAAAGTCGGTGGGTCCGATCGTCCACACTAGTTGGGCCCGATCGTCCACACTAGTTGGGCCCGATCGTCCAAAAATCGTCTGTAATTCGGCTAGGCTAGGCCTAGAATGAATAGAATATGAGGTTAGGTAGGTCCTTAGTCCTAGCTAGCCTACACAAGGTAGGCTAGCTAGGACCTTCAATTGACTTCAAATATAAGTACATGTATGCTTATGGAAAGAACACATTGAGATGAGTAATCTACTTTTTCAGCCCATGAATTTTGGAAAAAATTAGGTCAACAGCCTCGGCAATTTTTTACAGATCTAAGGCCTATATAGTATAAACTACGATTTTTCCAAACGCTCGACCTTACATCGTCGTCTACAGATTGTGATTTTGTTAATTTCTCTATTAAATCAATATATTGCTGGTGAAAGAATGGTCGTACTTATATTAATTTAATAGTGTAGTATAATGCATGTTTTACATAAGAAAATCGCCGAATAAATTTCGTTTTATCGTTATCTTTGGCATGGGAAATATCATTTTGTAAAAGCTACGATCGTATCATCACAGGCTGCTTCAAAACTGTCCATGCGCATGCCCAGAATGATCTATCAGGGATTTTCCACACATGTAGTACTTGTCAGTAGTGAAGTCACCATGCAATTGTGATTGTGTGTAAAAGGAACGGTAGGATTAGGCCTACAATATGTTGAATTTTGTGGTTTTCAGATAACAAACAACATTTTAAATACGATAATAATACTGTAAAATGAAGACAAATAATAGATTAAGATAAGCATTATGATCTATGCGGCCCACGTGGCTTCAATTGGGCGATGTTGTAGGCCTTGACTGGCTGGTGTCATTCCTACCTAGGCCTAGCGACGGTTCGTGTTGGACGTGCGAAACGACTAGGCGAGAAAGACAAGACGATTGTACACAAATCGTATGTACTGCATGTCTATTAGAAATAGTTATTGTAAAAACAAATCTGTTTTATGAACCACCAATTTCCTTGGTTTGACGACGTGCATGAAATTTAGTGTCTGCTATAGCCTGTTTCAGTCAAAGTTTTTGACTTTCCAAGCAGTTTTTGAAGCAAAGAAATCTAGGCCAAGGACGGCAATTCTGGCTCGGCAATATGGTTGGCAATTGCCGATTGCCAATGTGAAACTCGTAGGCTGCTGTTTAGATGACAAAAATTGGTTCTTGTCTTGTCTAAATTCTATCCAACAACCTAAAAGTTAGGGTTCACACGGTTAGGATGCTTTAGTGGCACTGAAACTATGCTTCTTCTAGAACATTGAAGTGATTATGGATGAATGATTTGAACGGCTCTTAATTTTGTAAACAGGTGATTTCATGGGGTAATGAATTCCAGTCTTTGGTTGTTGTTTGAGACAATTGGTATATGTAGACCCTAGTTGCACATTGCAGTTGAATTCTGTGTGTTCCGCTGAACATGTCGTAGAATCAATTGCGTTGGTACGGCAAGGTGACCCAGTATTGCTTTGTGAAAGTTAACTAGCAGATTAATTTTGCGGCGAACTTTAAAATCATCCAATTTTAACTTTCTTTTAATGGCTATTACACAGGCTTTCCTATCGTAAATACCAATCAATCAAACCATGGAATTTCCAAAAGACCGATTCGGCAATGTTTGTTTACAGCTAGTCATGTGACAAACTTACAGTACGATCAGTGTGAAAGTATAGGAAAAGGTAATTTTATGGTGGCGAAAACATCCCCCACTGTTAATGTGAGAAATAATGCCAAGGAATGTCAATACGATTGACTGTTTGAAATAGTTAAATTTATTTATCCTAGTGTTCTTCTAGCATTGTGCGCTTTAAAATTTAAATGGTCCTTCGTAAGCCTTAGCTAGTCTTAAAAAAGACTCTCGTGCATATATAAAGAGGCTGTACTGTAGATGTAGAGGGGCCTAGGCCTAACATTTTTCGAAAAATTCCAGTTTACTTTAACCATGAACAATTTTTCAAACCTGAATGACACCAACTCTCCAGCCCCTATACTCTAGAGTTGGTAAACCAAATTCTTTTAATGTTTTTCTCTGCAATGTCTGTTTTTCTTATGGAAAATAAACATGACATGTGATATTGTAATGCAGATGCAGCTTCACGCAGAAGATGGAATGTCCTGTAGCAGAGGAGGATTGCTAAATTTTTCCCTCGCCCCCTTTTTGTGTATCATTTTATCTGGTGTGAATAGTGCGTGTAAAATGTAAAATTTACATTTTGTCTAAATCTTTCTTTTTTATTTTTTCTTTTTTATAGCATGGCCCCAAAAGGAAAGGAAGCATATCTTTTAACAGCAACCAGGGAGTGAGTTGTTTTTTTTTTTTTCTTCCTTTTTTTTTATATGTTGTTGACTCTTTATATTATTTGCACAACACTTTAACAGGATCAATCAAGCACAATTGTAACTACATTTCATACTGTACCATATAATAGAATCCCACTTGTTTGACACCCCTATTAAGGCAACACCCCTGTTACTGTAAGGGGTCACCCCTTCTTAGCCACAATATGAAAGAAAATATATTCTTTAACACTACAGTTAACCCCTATTCATGGGACACCCCTATTGTGGGGACAACCCTATTAAGGGGACTTTTTTTTTTTTTGGTCCTGAAGGTGTCACCTAGTAATATTTATGCTTGAATTTAATTTTGTAGTGGGTTATTAATCAAAATACTTTGTTTCGCTACAGACCATTTCATTGCCTGGTGCTTCTGGGTGCAGAGAGTTCAAAATCCAAGTTACATCTCTTCCCGATGCCAGCTGTGAATGCCTTCAACACAAGTACCAGTAAGGATTTTTTCAGGCCTAACAATTGTCAGCCTGCTGATTTTAATATTAATGTTGAACACATATTCATCCTTTTATGCTTGTAAAAATTTAATCATCCTGGACTCTTCATCCTTGATTGGCTTCGATGCAATCCACATTGACATTATGGGATATAATATTTAGGAACATAAGGCTTTTTTTTTTTTTTTAAAGCCAGCAAAAAATATATATCTTTTGAGCAGTTGTCACTAGAGTAGCAACAATAATAAGTGGTTGACAGCACCTTGAGATGCAAGTGTAACACACTGATAAAAAACAAAATTATTATTATTATTAAAAATTTTCAAAAGCAAATAATTGAGTACTAAGTAATAATAATCACAACATGCTTTATGAGTCAAATTTACATGTTCAGAAATTTCTAATGCACAAATATGCACATAAATGAATGTAATGTTTATAACAGTAAATAAACAATTTAGCTAGCCCAAAGGAAACTATATTTATAGTCTTAAAGACTTCCTAACATTACTTACAGTACTTACATACTGTAGATTTTACTGCCTTGCTATTAGTCTAACTTGGAGATTATTTTTAATAGTAGAATTGTTTTCAATCTTTTTTTTTCTTCTAATTAATAGTGATCGTATTGAAAGCATTGGCTGTATAATGAACAAAGTGACAATCAAAGCCACCGATGATAGCTACACAGCAACCTCAGATAAAATGAAGCAAGCAGAGGAAGAGCTCAAGAAAGTCAGGTACACAAAACGTGTCTACATATACACAGATACACTACCACATAAGGCACACACATCCATCCACAACACAACATACAATAATTTTGTTACATGGTATGTTAGCTACATGGTAACCTATAATATTAAGAGCTTCAGTTACACAAAGAAGTGTCTGCATGTACACAGATAACCCCCACACCACCCTACATAAAGCAGACACACATCCATTAACAACATTATAGCTCCACAGGGCGGATCCAGAATTTTGTTCGAAGGGGAGAGGCACATCCTTTTCAGAATAGATAAGTGAGTAGCACATAACATAGTGCATTGAAATTTTTAAAATTTAGTGGCAAAATTGGGGAGGGGTAACCTAATATCAAGAACAAAAAGTGTCCACAGATGCACGCATATTTATTAAGTAATGTGTCAGAAAGAGAAGATAAGTGTGATCAGAGAAAAACTGAATTGGAAACATAAGAGAGAAAGGACTATTGATAGAGGTCATAAAAGATAGATAGGAAGCAGGACAGAAACATGACAGGAAATGCATAAAAAAGATTAAGCTACAAGAAATGTGAGAATTGTGATTACTAAAAAGAAGGAAGATGATGATGAAAATGATTGATGATGATAGTGATTATACATGAAGGAAGATGTAGAGCACAGGTGTGCAAAGTGGGGCCCGCAGGCCGCATGCGGCCCTACAGCGAATTTTTTTGCGGCCCGAGAAAATGAAATAAAAACTCTTTGTGTGCGGCTCACCAAGCAACATTGGATAAAAAAACACCTTCTTTTTGACGGCCTGACACCGATCATATGTAAAAAGTATCATTGAAACTAAGAAAAAAGTGGTGTAAAAGCAGTGCTTGGAGGTTTTTGGAAGGTCACTGGAAAAATAAAAATTTGGGTGCGGCCCTCTGTGTTAAATCGAAAACTCAGCTTGGCCCTCCGACCGATTTTTTTGCCCACCCCTGATGTAGAGTAATGCAATGGATGATAGTAATTGATAACAAAATTGATAATAACAATGTGGCAATAATGGCGATGTTCTTGCTGGCACTACATGTGAGTGTGTTGATAAAAATTATGAAGATGACATGAGGATAATATTACCAAAAGAAATAATTTCACAGTGTTGATATCAATGTATAAATATTATAGTTAACTTTAGATAAAAAAAGTATACTTGACTGTAATTGAATTCAATATGATTTAAAGAGACATTCGAATTTCAATATTTTCACATGAGTATATGAGTCCCAACAATAATGTTCCATAATCATCCTCGTTAGAAATACTATTTTGAGATTCAGTCTAGATAACAATTGTTTGTGTTATAGCCTGAAAATGTTTCTGAATTTAAAAATTCTTAATTTTGTTTAAAATTTCTTCCCTTAAGTACCAAAGTGATCGAGCAAAAGAATTTAAAGCAAGGTAAGAAGGTGAAGATAAGAACACCGACATCCACCCTGAGAAAGTTCCAATCTCAACAACAACCTGAAAGTGCAATACCATCATGGAAGCAAAAAGTGAATCACCGAACACCAAGCCTAAGTACACATAAACCCAGTGGCTCCCTCAATACAAATAGTTCCAATCACTTTAGTAGTAGTAACAACAGCAGCAGCAATAATGGTAGCACAAGTAGTAGCAGTGGTTATAGTAGTTCTAGTCAAAGCAGTTCTGCTAGTAATACTAGTAGTCCAGGAACAAAGCCTACAAGCAAACTTTCTTGCAGGTAAGTGGTATTTGCATCATTATTTAGTATACTTTAAATATTTGTGTATAATAATTATTTATATAACAAATAACAATATCGGGGAAGGCGGTTGGGTGCAGCTATTTCCATTCATGTTCTGAACATCGTTGTTAAGGGTTTGAACCACATGCTAGCAATTCTCTGCCAGCTATGCTAAGTTACCCCCCAGCTTACACTGTTGAAGGGTTGTGAAGTAGCTCACGCTGTGTTTAAGCACTAGGCGCGAGTATTTCATATCTTATAAATTATATAAGTATAAATATTGTGGCTGCGTCTCATCAATATTGATGGTAACATCAGGCCTGATTTGCCAAGATATGAAAAAAAAAACCCAAAAAAACAATAACTTGTTATGAGTGGTATTTGGTGACTGAATCAACAGAGGCCTAAATTGAAAGAAGTGAAAGCCTGGTTTCCATAAAGTCGCTACATGCTATCGTCGTCTGCTATATAATATTATTTTTAAAAAAAGGAATAAAACAAGAATATTTAAAAGTATTTATAAAATTGAAAAAAACCTAATTCTGATCTTTCTTTGCCACTAATTCTGTTCCATTTCTTTGTTTTCAAATGCCATTTGATTTTGTGTAGAGAATATTTTTTTTAATTTTTTTTTTATAATTATATTTTTAACTGCAATAACTATCAAGTGAAAACCCTCAGACATCTCTTCCTTACAATCTGTCAAGTCCAGGCAATAAATGAAGATCACACACAAATATCCAATATCAAGCCAATGTTTATTCGCATTTAAGCTCGTCGGCTCATTACACATCAACGTCTTGATTAAAGCACAGTGTTGTTCATTCTGCCTCGCATATGAGGTCTGTTTGCTTATCTACTGTGCTACACGTGACAACGCTTGTATGTAAATTAACTATGTCACAAGGTCATGCACTGCACAGTCTAATCATGGTCTGATGTGCTCTAATGATGTTTGCAAGTGATTCAGCGTAAGCGTAACCATTGGTCATACTGATCTTATATTCATGTTGATAAATGTTTTCGTGAATGAACAATGTACAATATTTTTTTAGTTGTTACCCTTTGTCTTGAACATATTCATTGCGACACTATGCTTCTGTTGTTTTTTCCTTTCTAGGGAACATATTATCCATTGGCTGGCTGTCAGGCCTTATAAAAAAGTAGAGCTATTAGTCAAACTGTCTAAGGACGGAATTTCCAACCCAAAAGAAAAAATTGGTGCTACTCTGCAACAGGTAAATTATTCCTCTTAAGTGAACTTAATAATATTTTCAGATAAAACTGATTCAATGAAATTTACCTTACAACTGCTTTTTGCCATGCATGTTTATACAATAAGATGTTTTAAAACAGCTCACTTAATGTCCTGGCACATGTCAACATTTAAGTGGCTTTTTCTTTTTTTAACAATTTTTCTAGAAGGTGACTCTCAGAGCAAGCTGACTCAAAAGAGGTACTGCTTAGTGGTCCTGTGACCGGGTGTGGTCGTAGGGTCGCTGAGCACTTGAGCACCTGACCAGCTCATTCCAGGATTCTTGGTCACCTGCCACTATCTGAGTCTCCGCAAAGGACTTCCCAGTCCATTTGGCAATGCTATCTACCCACTTCTTCCTCTGTCTGCCTCTTCTCATGCTGCCTGGGGTGGTACCTTTTTAGGATGGATGTGGACAGTGTCTTGGCTCTGGTTACATGGCTGTACCATTTCATCTTGCTCTTTTTGACGATGGTCAGGAGGTCTTCCTACATACAACACAACAAATTAATCATTAATACTATTGTTTCCTATTATTTTTATATATAAAATTATACTAGTTGATATCTTTTTTTATTTTTGTAGGTGGCTTACTTAAAGGACAATACTTACTCATTACAAAGACACATGTACAATGAAGTCAAGGAAGACTGGTCTTTTTATTCCAGTGCAGACCGAGATATTGTTAAAGCGTAAGATTTACCTTTAATATTCATTCTGTTTATTGATAAACTATTATAATGTTTTGTGACATTACAGTAATAATATGAAATTAATATACCCAGTACATTGTTCAGTATTAGAGAGGTTTCGCACGCAACTGAGTACGTGTACGCATACGTTTAGCTATCTGTAACGGTTCGTAGCCATTCTGATATTTTCGCAATCACAGCGCAATTCAGGCGTAGCCTAGGGCCTTAGCTTAGGCTTACTATACTCTCTCTTCTTTCATCATGCTTCTCAAAGTTTTATTATTATATGTAAGGTTTTGGAAATTGGAAATCGTAGCCGAAAAATACTTCTTTTGTTGCCCAGAAGTGTTGGTTATTTTGTGATAGGCCCTATTGTTTATGACCCAAAAGTGCCTGGCTACAAGTAGGCCTAGGCCTGCACAAAATCCTGACACCACCAAGGTCAAAGCACCAACATTTTGATACCCCAGAATGAGACGCATCCTATCTTAATTTGCTGTCTTCAAATGTCACAAAAATGACACATACGTATTTAAAGATACATTTATTTTTTACACTTACATAAAATGTGAAAAAATAAACGAAGATCCTACTAGAAATCTAAAATATCCCCCTACGCGTTTTTCACTTACGTGTAGTGAGTGAGATATGCGTATCGTCCACACGTTTAGCGGATAGCAGCCGGCGTATGACGTCAAAATGATGACGTATCCATCACACAAACCGTGTGCGAAACCTCCCTATTAGCTGAATGAGGCTTCACTCTAAGTTCATGCATCATGAATAGCTTTCTAATGCTCAGCCCACTGGTGGTCATGATAAAGTTTATGGTTTATAAAAGGTATCTGAAATGCAAACTTTGAATATCTGTGCTATTTCATGACAAAAACCGAAAGGTCCACTGGTTAATCTCAGATAAGAAAGTATAATACATACTCCAAGTATTGAAATACACGCCATCGTGTTGGGATTTAATATTTCGACATTAATTATGTCATCATCAGGTCATGACCATATATAGGCACATCATGACTATATATGGGTATACAACAGTTTTTTGTCAAGGAAAATTTGATAGTGTGGACAAAGCTTAATATAGCGCATATAAGCAAGCTCTCAATGCTCTGTACTTAAAAAGCAGAATAAGGATATTTGTATTATTTAAATTCTTAAGTTGAACGTCTGTTGGTATTTACAGTATATCAGTTAAGTGTGGGCTCTAAAACACAGTATAGTATGTAGCTGTGCTTCAACGAAATGTGATGATGACAAGTTTTATCGTATAACATTCAATAAAGAATGCATAATGTGTTGGGGATTTGTACTATAGTCAATCATAGAATGGATAACTCAGGATACTTAAATTTTTAATACATTGTAAGCATGAGAAAAAATGTGTAGTCTACTCAATTACAAGAACAGACAGGTAATGACATTTCACTACAAAATCGGTTAACAATACCAGCCTGGAAATGGTTACATGAAATTAATTAACCTTGTCTTATAATGTTTGTTTAAATCTCAGGAAATTGCAAAAGCATTCAAATCAAAGACCGAGTGAACTGAAGACCCCACCAAAGCCTCCAAGTGTTGACAAAGAAAGCAAAGTAGTTAAACAAGCTGTGGTAAATTACATTTATTCATTTGTTTATTGTATTTAATTTCCTTCATGTCCTACTGCGACTTTGAACACAATGAACTGTTTCACTAATAATAAGCCCTGCTTTTTGAATGTTCTTGCTACGGATTTACAAAACGACAGTCATTAATTCAGAGATACATACCGTAAATGCTCGAATAAGCGCAGCGCTGAAGCATCTAAAAAAATGTTTGGATGCTTTGGTGCGGCGCTTATTCAAGAGCGGCACTTATAAAAAATATTGACGTGGCACTTTCCATGCCCGTTTTCATGTTGATATCTCACATATTCCAGCAGTTCTGTTGGCCTGTCGTAGGTCCTACGTCTTCGTATACTATTGTTTATAAAGAAATGCTTGTGTCTTCATTGTGTGATTTATTCATTTAACACATACATACGTTATTCTCCTACCAATGAATTTTATTAAATCTAATTATGTATGTAAATTGATAAAAGCTTAAAACAGAAATTATATATGTAATTTTTTTTTATGAACCAGCTCAGAGTACATATACAAATACATTGCGCTTTTTTTTTTTACAGAAAAGACCAATCTTGCCAGAAATTACCGATTTTAAATTGCCTAAGATCCAAAGAATAGCACATTCCAAAAGAAACTTGAATGACTCAAAATCATGCAGTCCTTCATCCCCTGGTGAAGTTAGCACAAGTAGAAATTCTCCAAAACCTGATAATGGATTCGTAGAATGTAACAAAGAACAACATGCGCCCTCACCCTCAGAATGTGTATCCTCTACTTCGTCGACTCCAGAGTATATGAGGTACATATAGGCATAATGCACACTTGATTATATATTATAATAGACCTTTATACATATTCATTACCAATTTATCTACCATTCCTTATGTCATAGTAACTGCCATTCACAACACAGTGTTTGTCTTTGTGCAAAATCAATGTCAATATTTAAAATGAGAATGCGTGACACCATATTGTATTTTTCAATAATTCATTAATTGTTATCAAACACAATTCAGTCATATGTAAATAACTAATTTATTCCCCTGGTCATTAGATACAGAATCAATCATACACAACATGCAAACTAATTAATTTGCATCTAGTGCATGCGTATGATAGTGGGCAATATGTACATATTTTCAGACATCAAATTTACTTTAATCTTTAATTGTTCATGCTTTTTTCTTGTCTTTTTTGCTATCAGACACCTCAAGTTTTTATTAATGTTAGGCGCTATAAAAACTAATGTTTATGATATAACTCTTTTATTCTTTATTTTCAGCAATTTTAGAAAAATTACCAATCCGGAGCAGAGACTAAAATATAAGAATGTCTTCAATGAAGAGTATAAAGAGTATTTAAATGTTTACAAGAAAATAGAAAATGTGCAAATGAAATTTAGTTACCTGAAGGAGAGTTTAAGTAAAGTGGATGTTGATAGCAGTGAGTATGAACAAATAGAACAGAAAGTGTTGGATGAATATCAAAAGATACATGAGGTATGTCATTTCATATTTTATTTACTTTAAAATCTTGTAAAATGTCCCATCACCATGCATATTATTTTTAATATCCAACCTATGTAATACTCTAAAACATAAGCCTCCTTATCAAACTTCTGTGGCCCCTTTCCCACTAAGCGAGCACATAATAAAATAATGATTTAATATATTTAATGCTTGCGGTACACCATACATACTCTCAACAAACAAAAATCGTTTTCAAAACTACCTACAGTATGTGGTGTACCGCAAACATTAAATATATTAATACTTCGCCATGCAAACCTCCAAACAATAAAAATGATTGTTATCATTATTTTCTCATTCTCTTAAAAAAAGTACATACTTTTCCCCTTCCCCAGATTTGTTTGTACTCCTTTAAAAATATTGTAAAAAATGGATAATCTCTAATGAATGAATTTGTATATTTGTGTTAATGACACATGATTTGTTTTTATTAACATTTTTGTTATTTAAGGATGAAAAGTACAAAGCAGAAAGGGCAAGGTTTGATGAGCTGCATGGAAAACTAAGCTTTATCAAACGTCTGGTGGTAGAATATGACAATGCCCAGCAGGAACTCTCATAGTAGGCACAATCGCCTCGCCACCATACTACTACATGTGAACAAGGAATGACGTTAACGCTACTATAATATGTAGGAATTGGGCTACCGTTTCCTGGCCTCATATTAAGGATGTATCTAGAGGCAACAAAACTACTTAAAATATAAACAGCTCTGTGAAATTTAAGAATTGATTATGAAAATCTTGAGTGATTTTCTAATTTTTTTTAAAGATTTGAACCAAATGATAAACTCAAACAAAATTGACAATCATTGACCTTGACAACTATAGGCCACAGTATATAGTAAGACAAGTAACTATTTTATCTAATGATGGTGTTGGCTATTTAATGATATACATTGCTAATTAACAAATTGAATAATATAAAGGAGAGGATTTTAATTGCGTAATTAAAAACTTTTAAAAATGTAGTGCCTTGCTTGCTTGATGGCTAATCACTGATGAATTTTCTAATTAAGAATTGCCAACTAACTGGTATTGGTCAGCATAAATTTAATTAATATAGATAAAATAAAGAGAGAATTTTTATTTCATATTTTAAAATTATATGAAATGTTTCTTATAATGATTGAGAAAATTTAATTGTTTGATGATTGGTTATTGCAGCCAATGTAGCATTTCCACACATTCACGACCTAGTCTCTTGAACTGTGTAACTGTGATCTAGCTTGTCTAGATATACATTTGTTTATGAGCTGCCACATAAGCAGTAGCAGGTAGACCAATCAAGATTTTTATGTTTTAGGATTATATGCAGACTCAAATTGGAATTATGAGGTATATGTATGTATGATAATGACATTTTGATATACGGTATTTCAGGTGGTTTATGCCAACTAAAGTGTAGAGTACAGTATTTGCATATAATGTGTTGTTAAAAAGTTTAATGTTTATTCTTTCTGATTAGTTGCCACTACGGGATCACTCACGTATACATTGCCAAACTGAAGCTTAAATCATTAAAACGGTAATTAAGTGATACTTAGTGTTGTTTCTCAATGTGTAGCTATACTACACTGTTGAATAAATAAGTATTTTAATTACTTCAATCAATTCAATTTATTCATGCATATTAATCTCTAATTAATAAACTTTTTAAATCTACAAATCTACATAAGGACATCAAAATTACTACACAGTCATACTGTGGAGCTATTATAAGTCTATAGTCTGAAAATATAAATTACAGTAGAACCCGTATTAAGAGGATGCCTTAAGTCAATAGTCTTGACTGATAGACCTAAATAAACGGAGTCAATAGACAAACCATGGTGCTATTTACTTTACATAGTTACTCAGTGAGTCATAGCTGAGGCCATAGTAAGATGCTTATGTACTATGTACTTAAAGTGTGATAAACCATGGAAATATTATATAATAATGCTTTTCTTGGATATAGTAAACCATGTATGATATATGGGTGACAAAAAAATCAACAGTAAAGTCTAAAAATTATACATTTTGTAATTGAAATTTGAGACTCTAAATATATTTGCTTCATAAAAGTTAGTGTCTTTTATGTATTTGATTCTTTAAAAAAATAAAAATTAATTAATAGTTAAGGCATTTTAAATGCTTGTTCAAAACCAGTTAATTATTTCTATGTAGATTTAATTGGGGAAGTATACATATAACTAATGAACTGTTAAGAGTAATTTACATCCCCTTATAAGTTGATAATAATATTGTTCTAAATCAATTATTCAATTACATCCTCTCTTTTTCTTGTTTTTACACGAAATTGTTGTGCATTATGTTGACATTTCTGTAATGTAAATGAACTATGTTATGTTGGTAAGTGTGTGAGGAAAAAATCTCAACTCTTCATAGAATTCATATTATGGTCAAGATTCTTTTAGTCGCATAATAAATGCTGAGCCCTTATTCATCCTCAGACAAATGTAAAAATCCCAAGATCTCAATCATGTGGTTTGAGAATGTGCAGTGGTCTGAGAATGTGTATGCATGAACCTACGTTCTCCATTCAAACAAACCCCTGGAATGAGATCTCAGGATTTTTATTTTTGTTTAAGGATGAATAAGGCAAGACTTTATTTTATACCTTTGTTTCAGCAAACCCGTCGACTGCAAATATTGATGATTTCAAATAAAAATAAAATTTTATTTTTTGCCAATCAGTGCACCCACCGCCACGAAAAATGGAAATTCCAGAAAAAAATAAAAATGTATCTTTATTTTTATTACACCCTCCGCTTCATTAAAATCTCCAAAGATAAGATATGTATATTTCTTCCTAATTATATAAATTTGAAGCATTTATAGCAATCCTATTTTACATTCACCAATAAAATGTTATTTTTATTTTCTCCTCCATCTGAATGTTTTTGGCAATATTATTTGATAAATAATAACACAAATTTTTTTTTTATTCTGCTCTCCGATGATCCATGGAGGAATTAGCGGATGATCTTAAAAAAAATAAGTACAGGAAACAAGGAATTAAAAAAGTCTTACCTAAGGGCTCCGCATTTATTATCATGCAGTAAATGGATTGCTTCATACAGTACAGTATATATAAAAGTGTTTCAATATTTGAAGTACAGTAATCTAGTTTTGTATTTTTACACCATTTTTCTTCTGTAGATATGTATAATTGTAAGCATGTGGTTATATTCAAATATACTGAGCACTTTCTATTGCAATATTATGAACAGTGAATTAATTTTGTAATGCTCTCTGAGTTGTGTATTTTCTGTTTCTAACATTCCCATGGTTGCACTTCATTATGTCATACAATATTAATTAGGCTGCTGGCTGAATCACTGCCAATCATATTAAAACAAGCTCAGGATGATTATACAAGCATTATAATGTGAACATTCGTGAATGCCTCTTTAATTATCACAATATCTTCTTATCTGGATAAAAATTATGAAAATTTCCCCATATTTTCATTAAAATTATGCATGAAAGTCATGTTATTTGTCTGCTGGTGAAATTAACAATTAGAAAGTGAATTAATGGGTTCAGTGAAATAATGAAGTGGATCAGTTGAAGAACTATAACATTTTTGTATAGAGATGGGGAAAAGGGGACAGCCATATTTATTTAAATGGCAATAAAGTATACTGTATTAAGAGTCTAGTGTGTCTATTTTCTGTAAATCTTCATTCTGTAGCCAAAATATGGCAGCATGCTTCACTGGTTCTCTATTTAGAGTCATATTTAATTTAATAAATCTGATTTTAAGTTTATTATAACTGCCATGGTTAATATTAGATTGCCTATCCTTTCCAATTATGTGCCGGTATCATTGCCCAATCAATGCCTATTTTATGTTTTGAAATGTATTTTTGTTGTGTATGCAATTTTCTTATATTTTATGCAGGTAATTATGGCCATAAATTATAGTAAAATAAAATTGATTTATAAGTTTCAATCAAATAAATTATGTATTATGGAAGTTAATCTATAGGCCTAGGGATAATATATTTTACGTTAGGAACAATTTCAATACTCAGTTGTAATTTGGATTTCTATGTAAAGGTACTGTAAAAAGTAAATCAGTATAAAGAATAATAATTGCTGAAAAGGTGAGGACAAAACATCAAAATGAAGGTGTTAGGTAGTTCATGCCTGGCTTTGTTAGTAATTATTGTTTCAAAAGGTGGTTGTATTGGTAATGGTTGTTTCAAAAGGTGTTTTGATTATGTTTTCCTTTTTTTTAAAGAAATAATCTCCTAAGAATTAACACATTTTGTTTACTGTATATTTCAGTACTGATAAAACATTTTTTTAACAGAAATACTTGTTAAATTATAATTTCTTTTTTATTTTACCTTTCTAAATGAAGCAAATTTTTATGATGATTATGAATACAAAAATAACTATCTACAGTTTTTCCATTTAATTATGCATTTAAATTGTGTGATGATAAGTATGCATTCATTGTGTTATCTTATGTCCTTGCAACTCCTATTTTGATTTTATGTTGAGCTTGTTATACAAGATTGCCCACTGGTTTAATATTTAAAGCACCCCCTCTATAGTACAACGTGACACTGGAATACAACCTGAGAAAGAATGATGATCACGACACTATGTAAAATACTTTTGTGAATAACAATGCTCATTTTGTTTTCTTGTTTTTTGTATCTTTTGCAAATCAGAGGATGGATGAAATTTGAAAGAATATATATTGAAAGATATTGCATTTAAGTTGTCAGTTTTTCTTTCGTCTCTGAAGATTTATCAGCACTTGTCATAATTTCTGAGCTAGAATGTCAATGTTTATATATAGGTAGTCTATATAGACTACCTATTTATAGGTAGTCTAATTAGTGTATGTATGTAGTGTATATATTATGTAGTCTTAAAAAGTGACTAATATAAATCATATCATTTGTGTGCATTGGCAGTGCAAGAGAACGCAAAACGAGGGGCCTAAACAGCATGTTCACACCCATCTCAGCCCCATCATGATTACGGCGGTCATCTCTAGATATCTGAAAATTGTAATCTCAGACAATGCATTAAAAGAGCGTTTTCAGAGCAGTGTTCCCCAATATATGATTGACTTTCTCCCACAATAGATAAATCAACTGCAAGTACATTCAGTACTCTCACTGATAAAAAAATCATAAAAAGAGCCCAAAAAGAAAATATCTCATGAAAATGTCAGTAGTACCATGGTATGTGTGTAGCCTAGTACATAATGTAGAAGAAGTAGGGCATTAGCCGAAATATTATGTTGATATACGTCTATAATCAGTATTTAGGTGGTTGAATGCATGTAGGAAATTGATACTTTACAAGGATATTAATTTTGGAAATATCGTAAATTGCATTCCATAAAGCACAAGAACTCTCATAGACCAAACCATTGATTGGCTAATGTTTAGTCACGTGCTTGTTTACAAAGTGCAAATACTTGCTGTGGAGAGACTTCACACCACCGAAAGCACACACGCGAGGAGAAAATAGCGACAATTTTGTGATCATGCAGATAACTGGTAATATTCAGGTAATTTCGTTCAGTGAGATTCAACAAAGATGACAATGAATGCATATACATTCTCTTTTTGTCTGTGGATTGGTCTTTCGCTTCAGGTGTTAAGCTATGCAGGTATGTACCATTGGTTTTTATTGTGAACAGTGGTGAAATGTGATGTTTTGTTAGCCCACTCAATGTGCACCTTACCCCCGCCTATCCGAACTGAAGGAGATGTGACCGTGAAGAGTCATTTTAAGAAAGTGAAATATCTGATGGAGGTTTGCTTAATTTAATTCTGATATAGGTTCAGACGATTATTGTATGATTTACCTATATGACGACATGTTTTTGAATTCGAATGGTTCCATAGAGATTTAATGTTGAACTTGATTTTACTTTTAAGATTGTTATCGTATGTAGCAGTGTAGGCCAGTTCTGGGTTGATGGAGTTGGAATTCGTCAACAATAATAAACATCAAGGCAGTTCAGTTGCATTGCATAGCCTAGCATTCCGTTCGTTGGCTTTCGGTATGCCTCGATATAATTTTGCTTTTTAAGTGCAAGTAAAGAACACATTACCCGGAATTGAGATTGTTGTATGATGGTTTTGACATTGACTTGTCCAACTGTTTTAAATTTAATTAACGAAAATTGAAGATGCATCTTCCCCAAATTAAATTAAAAATGCAAATAAATTCATGCTGAGATTGATGTAATGAACTTCCTCCTGATGAGACTTATTCAGCAAAGTAAAAGTACAATCTTACCAGGAGCAAGGAATAGACATGAGCCCAAACATTAAACTGTCATTGCTCCATCATCAAAACATAGGCAAATGGAAAACATTAAAAAGTATAACTGATTTAAAATTAACTTAACTAACAAAACTAAAAACTTAACTAAATTAAAAATCTTGATTTGAAATTAAATCAGAATTTTTGTACAGTAAAAAAGAAAGGTAAATTTGTAAAATCAAGGATGTTCAAAATATAAACAGAAAAACACAAATTTGAAAAAATTAAGAAAACAAATCAGTAGTTTGTGATCAAGTATTAGCTGTGTAATCAGAAGTGGTTGAGGATTGGTGAATTTGTACTGCAAGTTGTTCCTAATGTCTTAGAAATATTACAAAAGATGAATTTAAAAAGGTACTGTATTGGTTTTGGCCTTCCAATGTATCAAATGCCCATCACACCTATCACTTGATCTAACAAAATCATTAAAGGAAGAGGAACAGTAGCCATAAATAAGTGAATGCACCTTCAAAAAGAATGTTAAAAGCGAACATGACTTCAACAGAACATCCATTTTTTTGTTAGTAGGAGGAGGCACCCCAGCCGGCTGAATCTTTAAATCTGACGCCGACAGTGAAACATGGAAGTACCCTGGTAAAATGACTATACCAGTGTGTGTGGTCACCTAAAATCTTGTGAAAAAATTGTTTTTCCATTTTTGTTGTCATGTATTCTGTAGATGACTCTAAAATGTAGTATAACCATCAATGGCTAATTTATTAATTGGTAACTTGATGGATCATATAATTATTATATCTGTGTACTGTGTGGTAAATTTTAAATCTGCTTTGCTCATATATAGGATTTAAAGTACCGTAGTATGAATTACCAACTAGTTTTGCCATTGGCATTCATTGGTTATTTATTTTATATAAAATAAATAACCAATGAATGTTGTGTAAAGTACTGTATATTTATATTGGCTTGTTTTGTGGTAAATATCCCAGTTCCTGATCAGGATGGGGATCAGGAACATAATTTAGTTGGTGATGGTTGGTGTTCCTCAGATTTCATAAATTTTATGCAAATACAGACTTATAACATACTTTAATGGTAAATTTATATTATTTATATGAGCTGAAGACCTTTATTGTCAATCAACTTGCAATAACTTCCTTTAATTGGGGTAATCAGTATGAATTTATTGCTTCCTTTTAAACCAGGAGGGATCTAATTAAACCACAAAAGTAGAGTTCTACCATGAATAAAGAAGTCTCACTCAGTGCTTTACAATAGCCATCTCCCTACTGATACAAACAAATTTGTTTATTTTGTTAAGGTCAGATGGAGGTCAAGGTGTGTTAAAGTCCAAGATATTTCAATAAAACTGTAACTTAACTTGGTATTTTACTAACATAAGTAGAGTATTTACAAGACTACTTTACAGTAATTCTAGATGTAAACAATATATATTCCTTAATTTTGAATTTCTTATATTACTTTGGAACCTTTTTAAGTGTTAAGTAATATAATATCATTTTGACTACATACATTCCCCAATTATTCTCATTTTAAGTTATTTTAAATTGTGAAAATCTTAGTTTTTACCAGGATTTGAACCAAGAACTGTGAGACTAGAAGGCAATCCACAACTCTATTACGCATTATGCATAATAATTTATGCCAGCTCGCTACGTAAACTAATTATTCTTTATTATAAACTGAAGCCTACATGTACAGTATGTGAATGTGCAAGTCAATACTGATTGATTGGCTTGTAATATTAAGAAAAATTTCCAAAAGTTAATAAGAATTTGATAATTTGAAGCTAATAATTTATAGCACAAAAATCAGTGTGTGTATATTTATTGAATGAAGTAATACCAAGAGATTTTCAATAGGCTCTCCAAATTGATATGTTTTTTTTTTTTTTGGTAGTACAGTAATACATAAAGGTTTCTATTTGATTTAAACATAATCAACAGTTAATATAGAAACATATACTCTTAATTGAAATAATTTCATCTGGTGTGATAAGAAAAGAAAAGGAAGTTACAATCATAATATAATAATGTAGTAGCAATAATGCTAATAACCATTAATACTATATAATAATTATAATAATATTAACAATAGTAAAAAATATTTGTCATTTTAATGATATAATAATAATATTAACAACAATTACAATATTGATGATGATAATGATATTTTACAAAAATAATGATCAGGATAATTATTGTTATCTGAATTTTTAATGTTACAGTTTATAGAATACTGTCCATTTTTCCTCCTTTCTTGTTGACCTGAGATTGTTGTTACACTTTAGATTTGTAAAGATACACTGTAAAGAAAGCATTATTATGATGGTTTCCTTTGTATACCTCAAGGAATTGTGTGATACTTTGCAGATTCATATCTTGACTTGTGTCTTTACTCTGTTAATATGAAAGCTCCAATAATATCTGTAGGATCTCCTACTTTTGAGGGCTAGTGTAATTTTAAGTAGCAGAGAATATTAACAAAATGTTGTTGAACTTATTAATATTATTATCGGAGTTTAATAGGACTACTGATCAACCTCTTGTCTAGGGCTACTGATCAACCTCATGTCCACTATATAATATTCTGTTAGCATTCGTACTGTATGGTACAAGAAAGCAATAAGTTCTATGTTGATCAAGCAACATACTGGATATTCAACAAACATAATTTTTATAAATTAAATTAAAGTTAATTTTACATGTACAGTATATTGTAGTCAGTAGGTACTTTAATATATAAACTGCTATAGTGTGCTGTGGTAAGTTGAGTTTCACTGTTTTGTCATAGAAACAGGATGAAATTGTTCCAATGCCTATACTGTAATATAGAATTTGAAACATGCATATTAAAAAAAATATATACACAGAGAGTACTGTACAGTGTAGTATAATACTGTACTAAACAATTCAAGAAATCTTATCAATAATTTAATCTTACAAATCTTTCATTCAACTTTGTAGCATACAGGTACGGTATGAAGAGTGAGTTCTTGTGTTTATTGTAAGTCTGGCCGTTGTCTGAGTCATATCAGCCAGATAAATTTTAATTGATTGTTATCATGATAAGGTGTTGTTTTATACAGTATGAAATAATAACAAATCTAACGAGTTTAGAAACTGTAATTAATGTGAGAATAAAGTTCACAGTCTTAATCGATTTGGCACATGTTCAAGATACTGTACTTACTGTAGATGGGTAATCAGACTTTGGTAATGTTTTTACCATAAAAGAGAAATCTTGCATAGCATAGTGTACTTACTGTAAGCTAGGCCTATAAAAGTCTTATTTGATTTATCAACGTGATGTGGTATATACTGTACCAATCAAACATGAATTAATGTAAATATAGATGAAAAAATGTACTGATTTTTTAAAAGTAGAGTAGAGTTGTGGTTGTGAAGAAAACACTTGAAAGAACTGAACCCCAGACCCTGGAACGCAACATTTGAAAGTCAGGCTTCGGAGGAAAACATGTTTTTTGATATGTTGTACAACTGATTTTTTTTTTACTAGACACAAAATGGTGTTTGACGAAAAAAAAATGGGAATGATTAATGAGTATTGATACAGATTTTGAATATTTGAAAACTTGAGGAAAAGGGGGAGTAACCACTCTTTTTCCCACCCTTTCCCCCAGTTTTTAAATATTCAAAAATCTGTATCTTATTAACCGTTTCCGAGTTTTTTGTCAAACACCTTTTTTTGTGTCTTAGAAAAGTCAGTTGTACATTTTTTTTCTTTAACAACTGCTCACAACTTTGTCTTTCCAAGTCTGATGTTGGAAGTATCAAAATATTTTTTTATATTTTTATACAGTACCTTCATGGTCTGATCAAACAAGGTCAATTAGAAAAATCTGTGCAGCAAGCATGGCCGAATTCAGTTGCAAAAGTTTAACATTGAATGCATCGTGACATTAATTTAATAATGATGAGCCACATTTGTTTCATCAGCTTTTCAATGGTGTCATCTACATTAACATACATTTCAACCAAATAATTTTCTCTTGCATGTTCCCTTGTGACCCAAACACTTCTGTTACAGTGATGCAAGTAAATAAATAAATAAAAAATTAAAATAATAGTCAAATCAAGATTTTAGCTAACTACTATACTGGTTTTGATTCATTTTAAAAAATAAATGAATGTAGGAATTGTGATAGTCCACCAGTTTAGTTCCTTAACCTCCTTCAAACCATTCTCTGTTGCGGCACTCTTTTCAATATAGTGACACAATAAAGGCCTGTTTATACTTCAACGATAACGATAAAAAAGCTAAAAAGTGATTGTTCATATAGAAAAAAAAAATATTAAGAGAAGTTCTTACACTAGGACGATTCGATAACGATTTATC